GAATGAAATCATTGTTCGACATCGCAGGTGGCCCTGTTGGTAGCGTGGTTTGTGCTTTCAGCGGCTTGCGATTCACGCAAGGTTACCCTGCCCATCTGCGGCGCCAGTTCTTCAGCCTGCAACTGGATGGTTCCAATCGTTTTCTTGGTGTGCCTGCTCGCTTCCCTCCTTCTGCAAAGGTTGGAGCGAGACATCTTCTCGCGCCAGGCGCGTCCACATGTGCGGTTCAGTGCTTCTCAGCTCGCTGCAATGTTCTTCCAGCTTAGTTGTCTCGTTGGGGCGAGCGGCTTTAGGAATAGCAGCGGAAGGGGTCTAGAGAAGAACTACCGAAGTAGCAAGACGAGGGGGAAGATCTGGGCCTGCACGGGCTGGGCAGACTTTGGGGTGAGGTCCTTGGCGTGGCCTGTACAAACGCACTCGAGCTTGGCATCGACATCGGCCGAAGCTTTGCTGTGCCTTACGAGATTTCGACCAGAATACCATCGCCGAGGAATCCTTGATTCGATAACCGGGCACTAAGGGTTGGACTGCACCATCTCTTTGGGATTTCCAGGCAGCGTGGCATCTCTCCGCAGCTGTGCTGAACGGAAACCCTTGTGAGTTTGTCGCTGATGACATATTTCGACCTTCCGTTGAGCTGCCTCAGAGGTCAGCAATTTGGCCGGGCTGGGAGAGCCGGGCATCCGGGGATCTCTTTCTTTGCATTTTGGCTGCACCGTCCTGCACCGGTACTTCCCCCAGTGTCTTGGTTTTCTTCAAAGCCAGGTTGGCTTTGAAGACCCCGTGGACCAGCACTTCATGAACCGACCGCGGGAGCTTTTGGCTCCATGGTAGCATGTCAGTGTCGCGAGGAGTTGAGTAGGCTAGCTAAAGTTCTACAGCACATATCTCTCAAAAGAGGAATGAAGCATACCGGGCAGCAGATCGCAGGTCCGACTTGGATTTTGCTGCATGGTTCACAGCAGCATTTCCTATGCAATTCGAACTCTCGTCAACACTGTTGCACCCGATGAAGCACGTGCGTCAAACTTGCTCATGAGGCACGACGCCCCGAATCTGTGGCCGTTGCACCGAGCAATCCAGCCGCTCCTTGGCTGATTCACTGAATTCGACAATGGTTTCTTGTGACTTGTGTCTACTGAAACGGTGCCCGGCTTTCCAATCCCGAAAACCCTGCAGCTCCGCTGGCCATTCGCAGGGACGACCCCAATGTTAGAGCTCCAGCATGCAATAGGATCAGCAAGAAGGTGCTTCGCGGCCACTTGCCGTGCATCGCATCTGAGCGAAAGATCAAGGCCGAGGATGCCAGGCCTCACGCTTTTGCAGAAGAGCTTTGACGGTCAAGCATTGGAGGAGATGACTTACTCGTATGACTTACGAATTGATGGGTATGTGCGAGAAGCAGGCTGTAGGAGGCTTCAGGCTCTGGAAATCAATGTCAGCGGCTGTTGGGAGACCTCCTTCAATACAGCAGTTGACACTGAGCGCTGTTCACGGACTTGTTGCCATGAGCTGCAGCGACACGACTGGACACGACCCAATATCCGTCGTAACCTTCCTGTAGCAGCCGGAGCCGGAATTAGCAGGTTCTGGCACGACGGCGACGAGAATTCAGCCTGGCAAACGGCAGTGCGGCAACTCGTCCATCACTATGTTCATACCATGGCGGCTTGGAGTTTCGTCGTGACCATCATGGCGGGTCTCGGGTGCGAAAATTAAAATGCATTGCCAGGCTTGTTGAATCCTACCTTCCAAAATTTCAGTTTTCGAGGAAGTGTATTGCAGATGGGGATTTGGAAGAGCAGCGCGAGGCCGGGACGCGTCATCTGCCCATCGGTGAAACAGAAAACTGCCCCGAACTTCAAGTTATGCAGACCAACTTGTAGCGTCCTTGCGTGAATCCTTCCTAAAGCTGGGAGCTATAGACTATAGTGGTTCAGCAATTGGTAGCAACTTGCGCAGTTTTCGGTGCTGTCTATCCGAGTTTATCCGCTTGAAAACGGCGGCTTCTTGCTTCTGCCGCCATGAGGGACTCCGGAACTCGCGGCATGTGTCCATGGATGCAGGACAGTGGCCTGGCCCTGGTTCCAGCCCGCCGCTGGGCGACACGTCCTGGAGGATGGCACAGTCGGTACATGCCATGTGGTCAACAATGGACATTCGGTCATTATAGGTCTGTTGAAGTTGTTTGCGGCAGGACCTCACAGAGCCGTCTCCATCCGTGCCGTGGAGGCATCTGCCAGCTCCGGCTCAGCAGCTGAGCACCGGAACGCTGCGTACAGGACCACTTCGAGGTGGTGGAAGAAGTGGCATCGCAAGAGGCTCCAGCTCAACCTGCGGATCGTGCTCGTTGCGGCTTGTGAGCGATGCGGGCAGCAAGCCAGCATGTCTGCCGATATCGTACTTGCAAGATGCGGTTGGGTGTCGAGTAGATTTCTGACCGAGTTGCTTAGTGACTTAGGGACCAGCTGGCCCCGACATCACAACTCGCATGTGGCGCAAGAGTGCGTGCAGGCACCGATCCATGAAGAAGGCGGCTTCCTGCAGGAACAAAGGCGCTCCTCTGTCGTTATACGCCCCAGCGTGATGAAGAGCAGTTTTGCTTAGAGTGATCGTTGGAATGCAGTCGAAGTTCGCTGGCCGCCGGCACAGTGACAGCTTTCCGCAAGCTGGACGAGATCGATATCTCTAAGGCATTGGGCTGTCTCCGTCTTCCACGATATAGCACTGGCCTGATTTACTGATTTGTTTGAAGGCCTTCTACTCGCTGCATCCGGGCGCAGTATATCGCAATGTGGCTGCACATCTCTGCCCTTGTAGCTGGCTCGTTTTGCGTCGTCGGGCTGACAGGTTACCGCGGCTCCGAGTACTTTGTCACGAATCTGGATCTGAAACGTCGCCGTGCGACGGTGAAGAAATCTGAGACACCTCTGGCCTACTACACTCGGGCCTTTGATCACACCGAGATCCGGATTCACACTCGCGAGAAGCACGCAACCTCCGGCCCGGCGAAGCTTTTTTTGGGTCGAGTGGAAATGGAGAGCCGGGTGAAGAGCTTCAAGAGATTCTGGAAATCACAGGATGTGCAGCAAGATCCTGAAGTTGAGCTAAGTCTGCCGAGCTGGGGTTACTGTACGCGCGGTTTGTGGTTCGAAGATCCCGTCGGCATCGCTCGCCGGCCTGCCGCTTTGAAAAGAGAGGCTGAAGCTTCGAGCGAATCGGCGCAGCAGTCCGGAGAGCAGTGGCAATGGGGCTGTGGGTGGGCTGGGGCACATGCTGCCATGCACGCACTGCTTCATGTCATTCCACTTTTCGTCTTGGCGGATCGGCGAGATCTTGATGCCGCTTGTGTGGATGAGCACGAGACGCCTCCAATGGAAGCTTGCTTGCAATTCGCGCACGTCCCTGTGCAACAGTGTGGCTATACATTCCTGCCAGTACCACTACACCTTGACTCGGTAAATACCTTCGAAGCCTCCAGGACCACCCGCGCCTCATGATCTTCGATGCCAAGGATGAGGCTCGAGCACCTGTAGGCCTCCTTCAGTGCCATGGAACGAAATCGATCAGACCCCACCTCTTAGGCTCTCTTAGGTAGACTTGGAGATGGCGAGCCTTTAAGTGGTGTGAGCGTAACTGGGCGTCTTGGAGCACAGGGCCTTGGCCTTTGTGACGCGGCCTTTTGCCACGGCTTCGCGATGCTCCGAGAGGCGCGGCGCCTGGTCGCTTGGCCCAGCCGAGTCGATGGGCATCGTTTCGCACTAGAGGACTGGGAGGCGGTTTGGAAAGGTCGGTTCATCGTTAGCCGGTTACGTGACGTGCAGCAGCACAGCAGACTTAACTTCTGCTTCTGCGCGCATCACTTCTGAAAGCTGCCTGGCGGCATTCCAAGGTAGAGGACTGCCCGTGTCAGCACGGATGCCCCTCCTGCATCATCGACCCACATTGCCGAGAATACAATCGCTTCCTGTCCAAGCGTGGGGCCCTCGCATCTCGGCTATGCATTCTCTGATGCATGACCGGGCCAAGCAACTGCCAAAGAGAAGGCTTAACTCTAGGAGGTCTTGCTGCTCTCCTCTGGTTTCTACCTACCATATTCTACCATTGCTACTACAGCCGCTACATACGACTAGGACTAACACCATCACCATGTTCATCCTCATCTTCATCATCACCACCACCGCCGTTCATCATCATCATCATCATCATCATCACCATCATCATTACCACTGCCATCATTGCGGGCGCAGTGACGGCAGCAGCTGCTACTGATCTGGTGAAGCACGGTCCGTGAAAACGATGAAGCAGGGTACGTTACATGCGCCCACCGCCAGTATCTATGAAGCTTGTTGTGTCGTTTGCACGAGCTCTACCCTTGTCATGTTTGACAGCAGTGGGACAGGGTGGAAGCGAATTGAAGTCCGCTGGAGCTCAGGAGTGGCTGCAAGGGCTGGAGTCTGGCAATCCCACAACGGGCAACGCGGACGCCGATGCCGAGTTCGCCGGTGCTACTTGATCGTGGAGGTCGCCTCGTTGGGCTCAGTTGACAAAGATCAAGAGCGTGGCTGTTGACAATGTCGGCTGCGGAAGAATACCTGCGGAGGTTTATCGCTGCTTGTGTTGTCATGTGGACGGATCGCCCAAGATGAAGCAGAACGGGAAGGACCTCGCTCTGCTGGCGGCGAGCGGGTCAGCAGGTTGAAGCGAAGCGTTGGAGAGGTCGTGGTCAAGACGTGAGCTTGGTTCGTGGTGACACCCAACCAAACCGGACTGCACGGCCCCACATGGCGGGCTTGGTGGCCTCAGCTTTAGACAGGTTGTAGAGCGCTAAAAGGATCTCCGTTGCGGATTGTCCTTTGCAGTTCCCGCCACATTTCCCGAAAGCATAGTCGGCTGCAGCTCCTGGAGCCCTAGAGCCTATAGGGCATACAGAACTTAAACACGTTTAAATAACTGAAATTGAGCTTCGACAGTGACAGTTTGTGGCCTGACTGTACCAGGCCACAACTCTTCCTGAGAACTTCCATTCTGCAGTATCTGCCTTCGAAGATGCAGGCAGGAACCACTTGCTATTGTTCAGCCATAGCAATGCGCATTTCCTTGTCACATTCCGCTTCGGCGCGGTGCTTTGATACTATACCTGGCACATTTGAGTTCTTGGGCGGCTGCAACAGTCTCTGTAACACTTCTGTAACATGGTTGTGGGAATGTCTTGGCAGGAATGGAGCCAAGCAAGTCCGAGCAAGTTTTGAGGGTGCAAGTGGAGGCAGGGGAGAAGCTCATGGCTCATGGAGTGTGATCGAGCGCCTGTGCGACAAGGCGACTCTGAATCACGAGCAAAGCTACGAACTGCTGTGCCCATGGCTGCATTGCGTCTTCAACGGTGCGATTTTGGGATCCTTCAAGCCTTACCCACACGCATACCACGCCCACCAAAGCCAGTGCTCCAAAAGCCAGACCAGGAAGCTGCTTCACCTGCCAGAGCCTTAGGTCAATGCGTGCATTTGGCAGCTGCATAATGGAAGTGGCCACATCTGCCGACTGCCCGGCATGCAGAGTTTGGCTGCAACAGAGGCTTGAAGATTTGGATGACATCGGCGAAATTCACCACAATGTTATGACCTCAGTGTGCCTTCGCTTTCCAGGAGTAAATGCAGGCATGCTTCAATGTATTAAGAGCACATAAGAGCACCGCGTTATGCTGGACTAGGCCTACAAAGTGTAGAAGGCATCCCGAACCATGGTTAGTTAATTAGTCGGCCACACATCACCGGATGTCAGCCAAGCAGGGTCCTGATTCAGGCGGTCTTGGCTGATGATGTTGAGCTGAAGCTTGAACCCCAGCCTCTTTCGCATGTTTTTCTCTCTCTCGGGCGTGACGAGTGTGTTTCTTCAGGGTGATCATAGGGAGTTCGGAGAAATGCTATGCAAGCCAGAAGTGCACATCCAAGTCTTCGGTTGACGTGCCGCTGCAATTGCTGTTTACGTGTTTGCTTGGCCACGAGCCCCGAAGCCGTCCTTGCTGTGGCAAGTGTCAAGCCATAGCAAGCCCTTGATGAACGAACATGCGGCTTTGCCTGCATTGCCTGTAGGTTTAGCAACTACGGCGTCCCCTTGGCATACAAGAGCGCCTACAAGAAGTGAGGCTCGCCCTGCCGTGGTCCTTGGGCAGGAAGGAGCCGTCCCTAAAGCCAGGGCAAGGCTCCAGGTCCTAGGCCCGTGTGCGACCAGTGGCTGATTTTTCCGGTGCTCGGAAAGGGCCCATTCGGAAACCTCACTGTTTGGGTCCTATAAGCTATAAGTTATACGTAAGTGTACCCGGGTCAGAAATTTTCGTGGCAGCCGAGATGTAGTTTCGCTGCACATGCAAGTAGCACATCGCGGCAAGATGCCCCCGAGGCAAGGTGATGAGAACTTCGAATGCTAGAGTTTGGGCAGACACATCACCTTCGGCTGTTTTGCTTGACACATCCTTTGCCTATCCTTCACAATGAGGCATAGCGAAGAATCCGATGAGAACAAGAAAGCCCCTGCAGCAGCAGCGTCGCAAGGGTTGCAGTCTTGTTGATTTGATTGGACCGTGATCTGACAGGATTTGTATAGGCACGGGTGGTCAATTAAATATCTACGACCGAGTTCAAAGCTCGCAGATGTTCCTGAGCTTGGCACCGGGCCACGTTTGCATGTTCATGAAAGTAGGTTCTCTCTGACCGCTACGCTCAGACCAGGAATGTGCAGATAAACAGCTGATCCTTTCCATATGTGTCTCAGTCTCACTCACCGACGGGTTGGAAACACTGTTTCTACAAATTCAGCTGTTCAGAAACGGCACTGGTTATTACACACATCCGTGGAGGTTTGACAACATTGCTACTAGCAGAGCATGCAGTTCATGCCTGCATCGACGGCTCAAGCTAAAAGTCTTGTAATGATGTCTGTCTCCATATCTTCGAAAGCCGGGCACTGACCCGTTTTAGTGGTAGCTGGAAACGTCTGCTATCTGGGAAGATGTAGGTGCTTTTGCAGTGGCTGCTGAGCACGTTATGGTTGACGTGAGCCAGTACAGATCCCGGAACCTCGAAACGAACGGCGGCACCAATAAATCTCAAGTGTGCGATGGCAGGCGGAAAAGAATGGACAAGATGTCATGACTGCGGGAGCTTTTCGCAACCCCTCCCGAGCAGCAGGAAGATAGAAGTCACAGTCAAGAGAAGAAGAAGCCAGAAGTGCGAGTTTTTGCCGAAAAACTGAAAATATAGTCATGAGGACGACAACAGCCACAGCCAAAGCATGCTTCCGATCTGAGCTTCAGATTAGCCGCTTTTAAATTTGACAACCAACGCGAGAAGCATAGGTCTCCCCGGTGTGCCCAAAATCGTTTCTGAGATGTAGTGCAACAACTTAACGGTGGCAAATGCGCCTGTGCGCCATGCGACAATGCAGCCATTGGCTGCTTCGACATGCAGCGCGAGGTGCCCTCTTGAGTCCTGTGGCAGCCAATCTGATGGGTGCCAGGCACTTTTTGCATGCATCTCGTTTGCTGCTCCCCGTCCCGAAATCGGTCGTTGGGTCATGTCACAGACTTGCTTGTAGTGATGAAAGGGGGAGGACACGACTTGTATAAGTGCGGCATTTTCAAGCCTGTTGATGTACATGGCCCGCGAGAGCCTTTGGAACATGATTCCTTTATGTGTATGCTCGCATTTGTGGGTTCTTGGTTCGGAAACGAAGGAGCTGAGAGCGGCGCTCCGACGCTCTGTGTTGAGGGCTTCATGGTTTTGTGGCTGCTACCGTCCATGCCGCAGCTTGCGCGGCCACGGGCCACCTTACTTACCTCCTGTGCAGGTGAAGACGGCAAAAGCGGTGCGAACGCAGCGCGAGGCCTCACGCCACCAGACACTGCCAGTCTCCGTCTTTTCGTGGCCCACTGGGACGCTTGGTCCCTGCGTCCCTGGGAGTCCCTGCGTCTGCATGGCGCTTCGCCAGGAGCGGCGACTCGAGCGTCGGATTCCTAGATTCCTCTGCTCTTCACAACAACGCCTGCATTGTAGCAACGGGTGACGCAGCCGGTCATGAGCAAGGCGCTGTTCACGAACTTGGCCCGAGTTGCAGGTTGACAGATTTCATGGCAAGGGCAGGCTCGGAGTGGCAGCTCATTGTCGGTTCTAAGGCGAAGAGGAACTCGAGGCCAAATCCCGCACTGCAGCGTCCGAACTGTGATCAGGGCATGTCAATGTGGCTATTCTGTGCATAGCCCGAAGCTGCGTGCAGGCAGTTGAATCGCGGATCCAACGACAGCGGGACGAGCATCGAAGCCAACGGCTGCACCTCTGCTCTGCAACGAGCTGTCGTTTCGAAGTCCTGTGAGTCCCCTCCAAAACCGGCATCAATTTATCACGACAGAGCATGATCAGATTCTTAGCCTCGGAGCACTACCTTGCAGGAACGCCTCAGGTGGGAGCACGAATGATGTGGTATCCCACCCGTTCCCACCCCGGCGGTTTTCGAACTTCTTGAGTCCTGATAGGAACAGTCGTTCCTGCGGGTTTTGGGCATTGGAGGCGGTCGCGTCGCAGCTGGTAGACTTTTCGGAAGGCCATCGGCCAGAGTGTTTCGATGCTGCGACCCGATTGTGAGCCGGATGCAGCTAACCATGCCATGTCGCAGCGAGAACCCATATTGCATAGTGCATGGGGTCTCGTGCCAGGAAACGGCACGGAGCAAGAGTTGGTGTTGAGGTTCGGCCATGAAGTGTTTCGAGGTCATGTTGTGTTGTGTTGATTGCCACGTTGTGGAAGAGTTTTCGATTGCTGCGAGCAACATTGGCATCAGGTCATTGGAGGAATTCACGCGGCAGGAACTGCGCCAAAGAGCAGAGCAGGAGGCGCGGGGGCCCTTGCAAGTTGTGGGCCACAGCAGATGGAACAGATAGGCGGGCAGGTGTTCAACCTGTGCAGTGCAGGTGACCTTCAGCAGGCTGTAATTGCGTTCCGTGTTGTCGCCATGCCCACTACTTTCAGACTTCAGATGAAAAGCCGCTTGACCACAGAATTCGGCTCCAGACATCAGAAACCTTCGCGGGGTTGAAATGCCTTCGTGAATCTCCAACTCAGATCCAACGCGCAATCACATAGCGCAGCACACATGCAGCCAACCGTCCCAGCATGTTGGGTTTGGAATTCTTTACACATGCATTGCGATTGAAGATGGCCACGCTGGGAGTCAGGGTCTCGGCCTGCGGAGACGGCTCAACTGCTCCCTTGCAACAGTTATTGCACAGTGTTTTGACGGCGCTCCACTGTCACATGAACACACTTGGAGCTTTGAACGCCTGGTGTAGTGTCCTGATCTAAACCTGCTTTGGTTGATCGTCCAATCAAAGAAGGAGAGCAGACGGGGCCCAGTGCACCCTCAACAAGCTCAATGATCTGGAAACTCTCTCATGTGAAATTCTCCGAAGTTTGGCGGGATCCAGGACTGCATCCGGAAACACAACATCCTGCGCCGTGTCTCTGATTGATACCACAGCGCACAAGTGCTACTGGAACCATCGCTTCTGTAGCTCAATGAACGGCCTGAGTGTCGTTACCTGGCAGTCACTGCGAGGTTGGAAGTCGCCACCGCGACATCGGAAGAAGCAGGCCGTTGTTGCAACATACTCCCATGGCCGTGCATGGCCAGAATAAAGACATCCTAAAAGTATTCAAACAATTTCTGCAGGCTGGTGCAGTCCAGGAGGTTGTCGACCATACTGCAGTGATTTGTGCACTAAACGTGGACTCTGCCCGGCTGCTGCTCAAGCGGTAGG